CTAGTTGTTGTAGTTCTCTAGCAACTTCTAATGCACGCTCAGCTTGGGACACCCTGTATATGGCGTCCCCCACAAGTAGGAGACACCAATTTTCATCCAAATATCAAAGTTAGTTAAGAAATTATTTGAAAAAAAAAACCGACATAAAAATAAAACTTCTACACCCTGTATCTCCGAAACCGAGCATTTTAAGACATAAATTTATACGAACTTTTTTACTTATTTTTATCTGCAGAATAAACTGCCGAAGCTTCACGAATACAATCCGGACCACCCTGTATATATTCCTTTTTGTTAAAATTTAGTATCAGATATACATAGCAACGAAAAAAAGGTTTAAACTTATTGCTTACATTTCGTTTTTTTTTTAAATATAATATATAAATTAAAGATTATTTCCCATAACAATTACATATTATATAGAGAATACAAATAACAAAGAGTGGTAAAGTAATAGTTCAAAAACATTCCTCAGATACAGAGAATATCATCCAAAGAAGTTTCCGGTTCAGTACAATAAAAATATACCGGGCGATTGAATAAGAACTGTGCCATAGTAGGCGTAGACACTTTTGACAGTGACAGAAGTCCGTGAATTATTTGAGAATATACGGGGCTATGTATACAGGGTGTTTCAAGAAACATGTGCCGTATCTCGCCGGGCGATTCCTCACGTAAAGATTTATTTTTTATATCAACATAGGTCCCATTCTGCTTTGTTTCATAGCTACAGGGCGTTGAAGTATTCCTTTTTTTTTCGATTTATTATAATATTCTTCAAGACGGAGGTGTTTAGAGAGTTAACAGAATTAGGGGTTAGCAAGAGATGATAAAATTGACACTCCAAGAGACAGTAATTTAAATTTATAATCAGGGACGGGTTAAGACAGGGGGATCCACTATCTCCAGTATTGTTTAGTGTAGTACTAGAAAAAGTTATAAAAGATGCGGGAATCAACAGAGAGGGCCTTCTGTATACAAAAAGACACCAATTCTTAGCCTTTGTCGATGATTTAGTTATCTTAGCAAGGGATCGGAAAGAGCTGATATCGGTGACCAAAAAACTAGAAAATCAAGCGCAAAAAGTAGGTTTGGTGTTTAATGAGAAAAAAAAAATTATGTAGTGGTCAGATAGGGATTTTTGAGATGGGAAGATGTCTACAAATGAATTCTGAGAGAGGTAAACGATACAAGTTTGAGGAAGTAGATACATTCATATATCTATGAGCCGTATTTCTGAGGAATCCAAATGTAACTCAAGAAATTATGGCAGGAAATAGATGTCAGTGTACTACTCTGTACTCTACTGTAAAATTATTAAGAGTAAGAACAGTTCCAGAAGTTAAAAAATCAGAATGTAAAATTTAAGTAAACAATGATGGGCGTTCAATGCAACGGAAAGTTCGAGGCTAGAGATTTGGGAAAGAAAAATACCGAGGAAGATTTTTGGAGGAAAAAAGGTAGACAACATAATATGGACCAGAAGAACAAATGAAGAATTAAAGCAACTATATCGGGCACCGAGAATAACGGGAGTAGCAAGACTGAGATGTCTGGGACACATTGGAAAAATGGCTGAAGCAAGAATTCCTAGTATGATAATGAAACGTAAAATAGGTGGAAAGAGAAGGAGGGTTAGACCGAGAATCAGATGGAAAAAGGGTGTAGAAGAGGACTTGAGAAGGATAAGAGTGGATGGGGGGAGAATAAAGTCGAAAGACAGAAACAAATGGAGAAAAATAACCAATCAAGCCATGAGCCTTTTAGAGCTATTATATTAAAATATGTCGCACTTACAGTAACTTTTCTCCTCAAAATTTCATTTGAATCGCCGAGAGAGATGTCAAATGGTTTTTGAAACACCCTGTACGTATTCTTTCTACGCCTACTGCGACACTGTTCTTTTTTCGAATATCACGCGATATTTTGAGTATTAGACGATGCAGTAGATTACAATTAGGTCCTAAATCAATACACAGTGTATTTTTTAATAGTTCTGGTTAAAAAATAATTATTGTTATCACTCAAAAAACAACCAGGTTAAAACACATAATATAACAAGAAAAAAATGAGGTTGAAATAAAAAAAACTTTTCTACAGATCTGATAAAGTTTCGAAAAAAGAAGAACAAAAAATAACTAAACAAAAAAAAACTTTTGTGTCCTAGTTATATTTTCTTAGTTCTTTATATACAGGATAGATTAACTGAGGAATTAACAGTAAAAGATATGATGTATATACGGTGGCTCCAAAAATTTGTTTGCAACAAATCATGTTCAGTATAAAAAAAATTTTTTTTTAAATGACACGTGACAATTATTGTCATGGCGGTAAATTTAAAAATGTCCTTGAAAGATAAAAAGTAGGGTTACATGACACGCTATAAAAGCAAAAATGCAAGAACAAATATATAATTAGTTAGTTTTAAGTGAATTTCATAAATGATCGGTTTTGTCAATTTTAAAACTTTCCACCCTTAATATCTCTCTTGCAGTTAAAATTATGAAAAATCGGAAAGACACCTCAATTTTATTTTAACGGGAACACTTTAAATGAGTATTTTTAGCCTTTCTCTTTCAACCCCCTAGGAGGGGTAGATGTCACCCTTACAATATTAAATGGGAATGGGGGTCAAGTGGCACATCGTTTTAGAGAGCGTTTAATTCTCGTTTTAATGGTATCCTACATTGTTGCTTTTTTTCTAGAGGTTTCAGAGTTGCAGAAACAATTAAATATGTCATGCATTGAGATTTTGGTTTTCAGGCTAGTGTTTGCAAAAAAATGATTGAAATGGATCTCCTTGTAGTACAAATGATTAGAATATTAGGTTACACCACTTACCTCTTATAAGTTGTTCAAAATGTTGTCCATTTTCCTGTAAACAACAATAGAGTCTGTTTTCAAACTCCTCCCTAACATTTCGGTAAACTTCACCGGGAATTGACCGGCATTCTACCGTAATTCGCCTTTTAAGATCATCAATATCAGTAGGTTGTGCTTTATAAATATTGGATTTAAGATATCCCCAAAGAAAGAAGTCTAAGGGTGTTAAATCCGGTGATCTTGGAGGCTATTCAATTGGTCCCCGTCTGCCAATCCATGTACCCGGAAATCTCTCGTTTTACCTACTAACTGTATCGGTTAGGTTACGTTAGGTTAGGTACAAATGATTAGAATATTGGGTTACATCACTTACGCCCTAACTTATAAGTTGTTGAAAATCTTGTCCATTTGTGTCCAGTTTTCAAACTCCTCCCTAACATTTCGGTAAACTTCACCGGGAATTGACCGGCATTCTGCTGTAATTCGCCTTTTAAGATCATCAATATCAGTAGGTTGTGTTTTATAAGCATTGGATTTAAGATGTCCCCAAAGAAAGAAGTCTAAGGGTGTCAAATCCGGTGATCTTGGAGGCCATTCAATTGGTCCACTTCGGCCAATCCATGTACCCGGAAATCTCTCGTTTAACCACTATCGTACCGAAAGAAAATAATGCGGTGAAGCACCGTCCTTCTGGAATGTTAACAAATCCTCCTGTAAAACTGGATTACCCTCTGTATCAATTTGAGTTTCTAGCTCTTGAGTGAAAAAAGGATCAATAGTCTCTTGAGCATTTTAAGATGCAGATCACCTGTCAAGTTTCCTTCAATAAATAAAGAACCAATTCATTCAAGCATTTCCAAGAACACCAGCCCAAACATTAACTTTTTGGGGATATTGTGTATGTCCTTCTCGAAAAATATGAGTGTTTGAGAAAAATAATAAATAATTTGAGAAAAGAAACGTTAATGGTTATAATATTTTCTGTTTATTAGTATTTCGACCCTCCTAGAAAAATGTAATGGCTACGTCATTCATTCAAGCATTTCCAAGAACACCAGCCCAAACATTAACTTTTTGGGGATATTGTGTATGTCCTTCTCGAAAAATATGAGTGTTTGAAAAAAATAATAAATAATTTGAGAAAAAAAACGTTAATGGTTACGATGTTTTCTGTTTGTTAGTATTTCGACCCCCCTAGAAAAATGTAATGGTTACGTCCATGTTACCACCTGATCTTCTAAGCATTTGTACTACAAGGAGACCCATTGCAATAATTGTTGTGTAAACACTAGCCTGAAAACCAAAATCTCAATGCAGGCATGTTTAATTGTTTCTACAACTTTGGAACGCGATTATTCGGAAACCTCTGGACAAAAAGCAACAAAGTAGGATACCACTGAAAAGAGAATTAAAAGCCCTTTAAAACGATATGCCACTTGACCCCCATTCCCATTTAAGATTGTAAGGGTGATTACAATTAGTATTTTATATACTAATTTAGTATAGGTAGTATTTAGTATATAGGTAGTATTTTATTCTCCTCTAATGTTCTTATACATTATTTTCAATTGTATGACTTTTTATTATTATTTATTACTTTTTTATTATTATATCAAAAGGAATTCGAATTTCCGTCTATGTAACGATTTCGAAAAATATACAAGGACAGCAAAAAAACATCCTTTCACTACAGTACACCAAAACACTTTACTTCTAACACTAAGTGAGTAAGTGTTCTAGGGTAATGTGGTGAATTAGTGTTTTATTTTACCGTTGTAACACCAAAGGTTCCAACCGCAACTGTACTTAATATACAAGAAACTATAAAAGTATCAATTGTTATTATCAAACTATTCAAGAACTATTTAAGATTTATTGCAAACTTTTTTACATTCACTGTATACTGGAATTTTATTTATACCAACTATTTACGTTAAGTTAGAATTCTCTCAGAAGACACTACCAGGAACAATTCAAAATTGTAACAAACCAGCTGTTAAAATTCCTTGGTAGTCTGGTATAGTGACATATTTATGTCATTATACCCATTAAAATGAATTTTAACAATTCTATACCATCATAAATAAATAAAATTCTGTAAGGTATACGACATAGAGAGGAGCTGACAGATCTAGGCATCGAAATGTACAGTGTGCGCCAAAAATGTCGATTTTTTATGTATTATTGAGTCATCAACAAAATATTTATATTGTACGAAAATTAGTCCAGTGGCGGAGATACAAGACAAAATATTGTAATTTTATCAAAGAGAAAAGCTGAATTGTTTCTGCAGAATTTTTTCTCGATAGCCGAATAAAAATTTAAAAAAAACTCAGTTCTTTACAAACGTTTCGCCACACCCTGTAGTAGAGTTCGAAGTGAAACGTTTTCTCTTGCCTACTATGACGGTTTTTTTTCTCTTAAAAAGTCAAAATTTAAACAAATTAATTTCATCCATACTTAATCTATCCTGTATTCCATTAATCTTCATAAAAACGCTAAATTACTGCTAACAAAAAATATTATACAACCTATAACTGAGAAAATACAAAGTTTTGATTGCGTGCACCGTCTGAAACAGCTTGAGAACGACTAAAAATAAAGAAGAACCTAAAAGAAAAAATAAAGACAAAAGAAAAAATAACGAAATAAACGAAAAAAAAAATCCGACGAGCGTAGTAGTAGATCGCAAGCGAGAAAAACCTTTAAACAACTTTTTAGTAATATATATATTTTTTTTGTGTGTTTATATATATTATATATTATCGACAATACAGCGTAAAATAGTTGAATCGAATTGGAAAAAAACTATTTTTTTGTTTACTTTTGAGAGGCACTCTTCTTCATACGGTGTGTTCATGGATCCGCGTTCCTGATGATGGGGGGCAGTGCCTTCTTCTCGCGTTATAAACGTTTGATCTTTTCCGCCGTCACCAAAGGATTTTGACGTTCTAGAATTTTCCTACCCTCGGTCTTGTAGTCGTAGGTGCATTTGTGAAGCTAAAATATAGTATCGCTTATTTTTTGGAAAGTTTCATAAAGCACTGTACATTAATTTGAATTGAAAATGTTTCCATGAAAAATAAGTATTTTTTAATGGAATAAAAAATATCCCATCATTAGCATTTTTTTATTATTTTGTGAATAAAGAAAATCCCACCCTTTGGAAAAAATCCCTTAGGATGGGATTTTTTAATCAAAGATTATCCCATCTTGTGGGATTTTTCCGGAGGATGGCATTTTCTGAGATTAACGAACAATCCCACCCTGCGAGATTTTCACAAACGACATTTTTATGTGAAAGAATGAAATCCTATCCTTTAGGAATATCCCATCTTGTGGGATTTTTTCGGAGGATGGCATTTTCTGAGATTAACGAACAATCCCACCCTGCGAGACTTTCACATACGACATTTTTATGTGAAAGAAGAAAATCCCATCCTTTGGAAAAAATCCTGTAGGATGGGATTTTTAATCAAGGAATATCCCATCTTGTGGGATTTTTTCGGAGGATGGCATTTTCTGAGATTAACGAACAATCCCACCCTGCGAGACTTTCACATACGACATTTTTATGTGAAAGAAGAAAATCCCATCCTTTGAAAAAAATCCCATAGGATAGGATTTTTTAATCAAAGATTATCCCATCTTGTGGGATTTTTCCAGAGGATGGCATTTTCTGAGATTAACGAACAATCCCACCCTGCGAGACTTTCACATACGACATTTTTATGTGAAAGAAGGAAATCCCATCCTTAGGAAAAAATCCCATAGGATGGGATTTTTAATCAAGGAATATCCCATCTTGTGGGATTTTTTCGGAGGATGGCATTTTCTGAGATTAACGAACAATCCCACCCTGCGAAACTTTCACATACGACATTTTTATGTGAAAGAAAATCCCATCCATTGAAAAAAATCCCATAGGATAGGATTTTTTAATCAAAGATTATCCCATCTTGTGGGATTTTTCCAGAGGATGGCATTTTCTGAGATTAACGAACAATCCCACCCTGCGAGACTTTCACATACGACATTTTTATGTGAAAGAAGAAAATCCCATCCTTTGAAAAAAATCCCATAGGATAGGATTTTTTAATCAAAGATTATCCCATCTTGTGGGATTTTTCCAGAGGATGGCATTTTCTGAGATTAACGAACAATCCCACCCTGCGAGACTTTCATATACGACATTTTTATGTGAAAGAAGGAAATCCCATCCTTTGGAAAAAATCACATAGGATGGGATTTTTAATCAAGGAATATCCCATCTTGTGGGATTTTTTCGGAGGATGGCATTTTCTGAGATTAATGAACAATCCCACCCTGTGAGAATTTCACATACGACATTTTTATATGAAAGAAGAAAATCCTATCCTTTGAAAATCTTTTTTCCAGATGTCCAAAAGATTTTTTCCACAGGAAGGGATTTTTGCGATAGAAGAAACATTTCATCCTATGGGATTTTCACATACGACGGTATTTTTTATGTGAATGACCATCCTCTAGAAAAAATGCCATAGGATGGGATTTTCCTTCAATCAGAAAAAAATCCCATCCCGAAGGATTTTTACTAGAGAATGTTTTTTAGTGAGTGATGGAAATGCCCATTTTTGGGATTTTCACATAAGTTGGGATTTTAATGTGAATGAAAAAAATCCCATAATCTGAAGAAATCCCATACCCTGGAAAAAATCCCATAGAATGGGAATCCTATCACTCAGGATAGGAATGCCATTCTATGGGATTTTTTCCAGGGTATGATATTTTCTTTGATGAATAAAAATCCCATCTTATGAGATTTTTCCATACAATGGTATTTCTACGTGAAAGAAAATCCCATTCCCAATGGGATTTTTTCTAGAGGATGGGATTTTTAAAGAAAAATCCCATCCGTTGGAAAAATCACGGAAAATCCCATCTTGTGGGATTTATTTAGAGTATGATAGTAGATATCTAGTGATTTTTATGTGAATGAAGAAAATCCCACTGGATGGGATTTTCTTCAGTCAAAAAAAATATCCAATCTTGTGGAATTTTTTCTAGATGGATTTTTTTTCAGTCACAAAAGCCTACCCTATGGGATTTATTTTAGAGGATGGAATTCTTATGTGAGAAGAAAATCCCATCCTCTAGAAAAATCCCATAGGATGGAATTTTTCTCCTGTAAAAAATCCCATCTTGTGGGATTTTTTCTAGAGGTTGGGATTTTTTGTGTCTGAAAAAAAAATCCCGTTTTGTTAGATTTTCTCTAGGGGATTGGAATTTCTGTGATTAAATAAAAATCCCATGCTATGTGTTTCGACACATACAATGGAATTTTAATTTTGATAAATATAATCCCATCCAGAAAGAAATCCTATATATATTCTGTATTACAATTTATCTAAATGTATGGTAATATTACTAGCAAAACTGAGGTAAAACTAAGCAAAGCGACTCACAGTTTTGCCAAAAATGAGAGTGACCATGATAGTAATTACCTCTGAATATCGATGCTGAGAACAGAATATCCTACCGCATCTACAATTGTAAATATTCGTTATATTTAATTTCCTATTGCACTCCGTACATCTCGACTTCTTTTTTATCACAGGCGGTAATTTCACTTCTTCACTTTTCTCTTCCTCTCTATAAACAAAAATCCTACTATCGAACACACTGTATAGCGTATACACTTACCTCTGTAACGCCGGATCGGTCGAGCCTTCGTTACAGTATCCGTAGAAGTCGTGGAGCAGTTCCTCCTTGGACTTGGGACAAACCTGACTCTCGTCGTTCTTTAACCGTTCTATGCTGGAACTGTCATTGATTAAACTACTAGCGGCGACCACGGAACTACTCGGAGATGGATTATCCTTATTGGAAGAATCCGTTTCCTCCAAATTTTCTTTCCTGTTGAGAATAGTAAAAATAAAAAATCGGTAAAAAAAACTTTTAAGTTAAACGGTTTTATCTTATGTGCACTGAAAACTAGAAAATAATAATAACAATTAGGTATTTTGAAATTCTAGTTCAGAAATATTTTAGTACTAGGCAGAATAGCTTTTAGGCATATTAGACTAAAATAAAAACGTGGGGCCTCTCTGAAATCCTACCTATGGCAAAGCATATCTTTATACTTTGGTAGATCATGAGCTCGGCGTTCGCTGGTGAAGCCGCCACGGCTGGTTATTGATTGTCAAAATCTCCAGTTACGATTACAGCAATAGTTAATGGGCCCCACGTTTTTATTTTAGTCTAATATGCCTAAAAGCTATTCTGCCTAGTACTAAAATATTTCTGAACTAGAAGTTCAAAATACCTAATTGTTATTATTATTTTCTAGTTTTCAGTGCACATAAGATAAAACCGTTTAACTTAAAAGTTTTTTTACGGATTTTTTATTTTCTAGTTTTTAGTATTTAACGGAAATGCCTACCGAATATTCCTCATTCTATTTAATTCATTTAGTGCATCATTATTACATGGTTTTTACCTGATAATTTATTACAATCTGACGCTAACAACTCTCTCTGTCTGTCGCGTTCTGATGCTAGCCTAGACTCATGACGCTCAGGTGTTTCTGACGCTAACAACTCTCTTTGTCTCTCTCGTTGTGATGCCAGCCTAGACTTATGACGCTCAGGTGTTTCTGCCGCTAACAACTCTCTCTGTCTGTCACGTTGTGATGCTAGCCTGGACTCATGACGCTCAGGTGTTTCTGACTCTACCAGCTGCCTTTGTCTCTCACGTTGTGCTATTAACCTGGCATCATGTTGCTCAGGTGTTTCTGTTGCTAACCGTTCTCTTCGTTTCTGTAGTCGACTATAAGTTTCATTTTCACTTTCTTTTGCACGTTTCGTTCTATACTTTTCTTTCGCCTTTTCGAGCCTTCTTTTTCGTTGTGTAGCAGTTTCGTTTTTATTTTTGTTTGTGTTTTTATTTATTGTTTCCATGTTGTTCCCACGAGTAATGGACATTTTAACGGTCGACCCCAGAGGTCCAGTAGAGGGGCAAAGCTATAATATACAACAAGAGGCGCCCAATCTTGAGGGGAAACGCTTGCGACATTACATTTTTAGCCACCCTAATGCCATACAGTCCTCAGCACATTTTAACCTATTACCTTAACTTGGGTGGTAAAGCTACCGCTAACTACGTAGATACATCTAATCACCTATTTTTTTTATCTGTCCTTCTAACGTCACACAATCTTGGACACAACTGTTCTGGACACGACTGCTCATGCCCTCACCTAATACGCCATTTTGTAACGACGTCCATCTTGGATTTTAAATTTTGTCATAATCACAGTATTCTACTTGTGTAGCCCTTTCATTTGATACCCATATCGAGGGGTTGTGGAAAAATATGAAATCCGCCATTTTGTACCGGCGGCCATCTTAGATTTACAATGTTATTGATATTACTATATTGTATTGTCATCGGAACTAAAGGTGTGTACCAAATTTCAGATCAATCTGACAACAGGAAGGTACTTAAATTTCAATTTCCAATTTTGACCCAAATAAACAAACAAATAAATAAATACCGTACAGGTCGAGCTAAATAAAACCGTTTAAAAACAGTATATTTTAAGCTAAATTCTCATATCGCCTCTTACCTATTTCTTCTGCTGTACAAGGGCGATCTCCTCTCGCTCCTAAAGTACAGATCGCAATAGTTGGACTGCTGTTTGGGAGCGTATTGGGGCGGTATGGCGCTGGGCGTCGACAGGTACTGCGGCACGAAATAATTCGTACCGGAACACACGCCGAATTCCGTCGAGGACTTGGAGAACTTCCCCAGGTCCGAGTTGAGGTTAGTTTGGGTGTTCTCCAGGCTGTCGTAGTTGTATTCTAACCCACCCTGGTGGCGTTTCACTAAACCAACCTACGTGAAGAGAAGTAAACTTATAATTATAATAATAATAAAATCGTGGCTTTGTCATAATATTTAAGTATTTCAGTTCTTAGTAGGGCAGTTAGAAAAGGGGTAGTCCGAAAAAGAACGTGAACTGGGAGTCGGCGTCGCTTTGTTTTGTGACAATTTCAAATGGTCAACAATAATTGTTGAACATCTTCTAAAATTATAATTATGTACCTTTAAAAAAATCGTTATAAACGAAATCAGATTTTTGTCATAGTTTAAGTTTTTACAAGGAAGTACCAATTCGTAGGGCAATATTTCTTTATATTGTCACTCGGTAAAAACGTAAACATCAAGGGACAAAACAGGTATTAATTTAAAAATTATAAAAGTAAGATTGGTTGACAAATAAAGATTTTTTATGAATGAGTTTTTTTTGTCTTAATAGTGGTTGAGTATATTAGAATTTTGTTTCTTAAAAATCCACTGTCCGCCAGTCGACCAGACCCCAATATGATTAACATTTTTATTTTTTAATTTAAATCAGAAATTTTATGAGAAAAATACAGGAGATAAAAAGAATTTAAATTAATCGGCATGTAGTAATAACACAGATTATAAACTTATCGTCAAAAGCATTGTTTTCGTGGTTACACCGGAAGTCGCCATTAACTTCCTTATTTCAAATGGAACACCCTGTATATTATTTAATTTTTGGATTTCTCAGAAAATTTTATGATGAGTTTCATTAGATTTCCCTATACCTATTTTCAACTGTTTCTCAGATATCTTGATTTATTTGAAAATTTTTACATTTTTACCCCTATTTTTAACAGTGGGTCTTTTACTCATTTTGAATTGGTGATAAACGCTTCTGCGGTAAACTGGAGCAGAGGACTAATACTTTCGAAGTCCATATTGACAACTAATTTATCTCATACAGGGTGTCCAAAATTCGATAACTGATTAGATTATTTTCAAACTCAAAAAAGTCCGTTTTTTCAGATGAGACACCCTATATATTTTTCGATAGTTGGATGCAGAATTCAATTCTGCATCGATTTGCTATAACTTTCCCTATACCCATTTTCAACAGTTTTCTTTTTAATCCGTATATTTCACTTTAATTCAATTTTTGGCAGAATCGACAATATCGTTTGTGTTTTTTTAAAATAAAATAATCATGTTAAAGTAATGAAATTGAATGTAATTAGAACATACGAACAAAACAGGAACAAAACGAAAGTGAAAACGTATAAAATATAACATAACATAACACACCAAAGGTATAACAGTAACGGTGAGGCATTAATTATTAACACTAGACGTTAGTGTATCGCTACCATAATAAAAAAAAAGTAAACACAATAATTACAAAAATTATTGTTCGAAGTGACCGCTATGAACGAAAATTTTTGTAATTATTGAGTTAACTTTTTTTTATTATTGTAGGGATACACTAACGTCGAGTATTAATAATTAATGCCTCCCCGTTACTGTTGAAAATACGTTTGTTTTGTTATGTTATGTTATATTTTATATGTTTTCACTTTTGTTTTGTTCCTGTTGTGTTCGTATGTTCTAATTACATTCAATTTCTTTACTTTAACATAATTATTGTCTTTTAAAAAACCCAAACGATATTGTCGATTCTGCCAAAAATTGAATTAAAGTAAAAAATACGGATTAACAAAAAAACCGTTGAAAATGGGTATAGGGAAAGTTATAGCAAATGGATGCAGAATTGAATTCTGCATCCAACTATCGAAAAATATACAGGGTGTCTCATTTGAAAAAATGAACTATTTTGAGTTTGAAAATAATCTTATCAGTTATCAGATTTTGGACACCCTGTATGCAATAAATTAATTGTCAATATGGATTTCTAAAGTATTAATTCTCTGCTACGGTTTACCGCAGAAGCGTTTATCACCGATTCAAAATGAGTAAAAGACCGACTGTTAAAAATAGGGGTAAATCTGTAAACATTTTCAAATAAATCAAGATATCTGATAAACAGTTGAAAATAGGTATAGGAAAACCTAATGAAACTCATCATAAAATTTTCTTAGAAATTCAAAAATAAAATAATATACAGGGTGTTCCATTTAAAATAAGGAAGTTAACGGCGACTTCCGGTGTAACCGGAAGTGGTGTGACCTTGAAAATATTTTTAAATGAAAGGAAAGGTTAAATAACCCTAAGTCTCAAAATTTCAAGCTTCTAAGTTTTTCCTAACCTCAAAAACTTCTAACGAACGGCTACGGTGAGAAACCCTGTATAATAAATTTTTCACATACTCGCTATTTAAACCCCAGTGTATGGTTGTTTACGATATTCCCCGATGGTGGCAGCACCGGCGGAGAACGCACCAAGCCTATACACTCTGGATAAAATCTGTTTTAAAATAAACAAGAAATACTATAAAATTAACAGAAAACAAGCATAAGAAATATTTACTTAGTCTTTATAACCTCTAAAATTCCACCCACCTTGCACGTGGCGCTGTGTTTCAGCCTGTCCCCCGCCGGCTCCCTGATCTCCCACAACTCCTGCCCCCTCTCCTCCAGTTCAATCCCATTGGGCGAACTTTTCGGCCGCTCCGCCCCCTCCGATGAAAGCACCAATCGCGTCAAGTGCACCCTATTCCTAGCTCCCACCGCTATACCCTCCTCCTCATCCAGGAAATGCAACTGATCAGCCAATTTAGTGCTCATTTCCTCCACCACGGAGGCATTGTTGATCTCCAGGATCGGACTACCGTCTCTGCTTTTCGATATTAGGCTCGGCAAAGGGTTTGTGTTGTTCCAGGGGGATGACATCTTGTTATCCAGAGACGTAATTTTACTGGAAATGTCCGGGATTAAAGGTCCCAAGCTTCTCGCAGCCAACTCCGGTAAAATCTTGGATTCCTGGCCTAATCCCAGCTCGAAGTTACTATCCAGAAACCCGGATCCTCCCGAGGACAAAATAGGATCCTCTTCCAGATTTATAACCGGATTTAACAGTTCTTCATCGTCCGATTTGCTTCTCCAGTCGTTCCGATCTCGGGAGTACACTGTGTACTGGCTGGAACTGGAACTATTAGATGAGTCGGAGCGTTCCAGAGATTCCTTTTTCCTGGCGATGCGCGCGTAGTTTTGTCTCGTGTGAGAGTAGGACGAGGATAGAGAGTTTTTGCGTTCGTTGTATATGGATTTGGAGGTGGTACTGCTCGGTTTGGGTATGGAAAGGTTCTGGATGACCTTGGGCCTGGTGCGGTGTTTGTCCTTGAGCGCGATCTCTTCGCTTTCCGATTGGTTGCCTTCGTCTAAATGGGTTAAAAAGGGATAAAAATAGTTTATTGTTTTAAAAATAAAAAAAAATTGTGTGTGCACTATACTAAGGGCTGGCAAAGGTTAGTCTTGGGTCGAGATTTCCGTATGTAAGAAGAGTACAATGCCTTTATAATGTACTGAACAAAGAGAGAACAGTAAACACGTTGCCAAACGTACGAATTAAACCGAGAAACTGCGCACATTGCTAAGAGACGTGGAAGGGGATATAGCAGATTTGTCGCAGTCCACCGGTCGACCCAATCAGTACCTCTGTCAGTACTTAAAGTTCTAGGGAAAGGTGTACATCATGCGTTCAGCTTCACAATTTAATTACGCCTCGCGATACTTTGTTTGTTTATTTATTAACGAATCGTTGTAACTTTCCCTTTAGTTTGAAAATTTTTAAGTGCAAGTTAGAAACACTTAAAAAAAAATCAGTGGAATGGGCTCTTTCACAAAAAATAAAATACCCAATTCAAGGACAAAATCTGAAATAGAAGACTATCTTCAGTATATTTATCAAAAAAAAGTAGTTCCATGACATTGAATAATTTTTATAGGCCCTCAAAATTGCTTTAATTTGAAAAAATTTTAAAGTGCCAATTGATGACGTATGAAAAATACGCCCAATCACATTGCAGAACCGTGCTCGTGCGCCAGCCAACAACTGGCAACATTGCGATTTGATTTGACCAGCACCACCTCAACTCAAGGCTAATCAACATGATATGGGCAAGGCAAATATGGCGGCGAAGGCAGCGCATTATTAAATTGTTTACCTCTAACCTGAAAAGCCGTTTGATAGAGAGTTATCCCGTGGTCTAAAAGGAATTTTTAAGAATGTCAATTATAAACTTGTGTATAGTGCTAATAATAAATTACAACAATTATTAGGTAATCCAAAGGATAAAACACCTCCACTAGAAAGGTCAGGTATTTATGAAATTTCTTGTAAAGATTGTAATCAGAAATATGTTGGGCAAACTTATTTATTTTTTACTTTTTAGTTAATATTGATCTTCTCAATATTAACTAGATTTAAAGAACATTTAGCTCAGATAAGATATGGTAGACCGGATAAATCTTGCGTTGCCGAACATATTGTTGATAAAGAACATTGTATAGATCTTAATAATTTAAAATTAATTAAACAAGTCTCAAATTACGGGCAATTAGATGCATATGAAACCATCAGAATTAATAAATGTAAAGATAGTATGAACAGAGTCAATGGTCCAATTCCTTCAAGTTCTTTGTTCCTTCTACTCTAGTGGCGGAAATTAACTGTTACGCTCAGTGGGCTCTGACTCGGTTGGCTAGATTTTGCCACGCCCACTCGGTACCTACTGGGCGAGTATATAAACGCTCAACTTGTAGATTGTACTTTAGTTTATAATCATCTGCTGATGATGCTAACATGGTTGGCGAAACGCGCCTCCAGTGTAAAAGTAAAAGTGTTTTGGTGTATTGTGGTGATTTAGTGTAATTTTATTTTGCTGTGTAACACCAAAGGTTCCAACCCTCAACTGTAAAATGAGTTTTTCTATCGACTACTAAGGTGTAGCTACTAAAAAAATGTACCAATCTCTATTTGAAATAGATGAAGTATCTTCAAAAAATAACAAAAAAATTTTAATTTTTTCTAAACATGTAATAAATGAATTTAAAAGATATTGCAAAGATTACCTTACCTGATCTTTCAAATATGGTCAAATCCATATTATCAATGATGCCAGAGGCGCAATCCTCCAGAAACTTGTAGGAAATACACTTCTTCCCTTCTTCCACCATGAAAAACTTGTCAAATGAATCATCTTTGTCGATTTCGGAGGTGCAAGCCTCGTCTTTTCTGGTCCTGCTCTTCCTTTTTTCGTTCAGATCCTCCATCTTTTTACGAATCATCGCCAATTTGGTGCACATCTGAGTGTCCTCCACCAATCTACAATAAATCGAGCTAAAAAATACTAAATAATCGAACGGTTCTGACAAAAATAACGAAAGAAAAACTATTTTTATGTTGTTTTAAAGTTGGTAACAAATGAAAATATATTTTTTATTTCTTCAAAAAAGTCCTATTACGCCAAGTGCACTCGAAGAAAATCTACAAAATAAAATAGTATATTTCTTCCAGTGGTCGGAAGCAAAAAAATGTAAAAAAGATGAACAAAGAGAAAAAAAATCTGTTGATTTTTTATTTGTTACCGTTCTGTTAATTTTAACATAACATCAACGGTATTTATGCAACAAATTGTAAGTTTTGGATTCGTTGAAGGACTATTAGAGCTACAATTTAAAAATATTTTTACAAGATACAGAGTGTCCCAAATAAATAAAAAATATCAAAGTTGTATTTTTTTCAAAACAGATCACCTTGTATATTATTACATTTTTAGTTTCTACGATTAAAATAAAGGTTGATTTGATTAAGGTTTATCGCACTTAAATCTTACCGTTTTTGAAATATTTTCAGTTGTGTGAAATTGCAGTAAAAATTTTAAGGTTTCATTTCTCCAAGGGTATCAAAGTTTTTAATATTAAAAATTTACTGAAGTTTATTTACTGATCAGTTATTGTGTTGCAATAATAAAAATAATACTACCTCATACAGAGTGTCTAAAAATTTATTTTAAATAATTTCTAGCTGTAAACGACAATAACTTGTTTAATTTAAATGGAACATCCTGTATATTTTAGGAGAATCAGATGCACAATTTAATTGTCTATCAAATTGTATTATACCATTTTTATCTATCCTTTCAAGTTTTCTTAGAAAATGCATTTTCTTATAATTTAGACCTCATTTATTAATATACCCATGGAATATTGACATTTTAGATTGTTTTTAAAAACAACAAATGTACAAAATGTACAGGTGCTAAAAACGATAATATTACTAGCCAATTTCTATTGAAAAAGAAAACTATTTAAATCTTTATAAAACCTTGTAGGTTAGATAGTCTGGTAGTATAATTTTTATAATTGCAACACTGGTATTACTGTTGGTCTCTGTAGGATTAACACAGCAGTGTTTACAAAAATTACTATTTTATGTTGTAGATTTTTTTACAGCGGCGAAATACCCAGATGTTTTTCTATTTGAAGATAATCCAAGTGTCTGAAAAGTGTATACTCTTACCTTTGAAAGGTCTCCAAAGTGTCCTTCTTGGAGGACTTTGACGGAGGAGATATGGTACTCTCGCTGTAGGGCGAGTACGATCCGTCTTCGTTTTCTATTACGCGCAGCAGGTTTATTATGTCGCCCTCTTTGAACACCAACACAGACACTTTAGACCCAGAAGTCACTTCATCTCTATAAGATGATAATAATTTAGATTAAACCGTACAGAAATATTCAGTATAGTAATTTAACGTGTTAAAATCAAAGTAGGTCTCACATTGGAGACTCTCCACTGCCACCCCTATTGTGATTAAGTTACTGAAATCAAATTTTATTTCACCCTCATTACCCATTTGCAGAGAAGTTAAGCGTTACATTATAGTTTACATATTTTTACAGACCCTCTACATTCAATTTATAATCTTGTAACCCTACATTTAATATAGTTAAAAGTAATATATATATATATATATATATATATATATATATATATATATATATATATATATATATATATATATCAGATCATATTTCAGATTAAGAACTGTCAGATCAGATTAAGAACTGATATTGTATTAACTGGCTTGTAACTAATACAAGGACAAAAGTAACTTTGAGACAGATATCAGTCAAACTGATATAGCAATATCAGATTAAGAATTGATATTGTATTAACGCTTGTAACTAATACAAGGACAAATGTAACTTTGACACAGATATCAGTCAAACTGATATAGCAATATCAGATTAAGAATTGATATTGTATTAACGCTTGTAACTAATACAAGGACAAATGTAACTTTGAGACAGATATCAGTCAAACTGATATAACAATATCAGATTAAGAACTGATATTGTATTAACTGGCTTGTAACTAATACAAGGACAAACATAACTTTGAGACAGATATCAGTCAAACTGATATAGCAATATCAGATTAAGAACTGATATTGTATTAACTGGCTTGTAACTATACAAGGACAAACATAACTTTGAGACAGATATCAGTCAAACTGATATAGCAATATCAGATTAAGAACTGAGATTGTATTAACTGGCTTGTAACTAATACAAGGACAAACATAACTTTGAGACAGATATCAGTCATACTGATATAGCAATATCAGATATATATCACCTTGTAACTAATATTGCATCTAATAGACACTGACTGGTTTATATCTACCACATGTTCTTTATTTTCAGCCTGTTCTCAGAGTAGCCTGAAGCCAATTAAACTGATATAGCAATTACACTGATTAAAAACTGATATTGTGCGAACTGGCTTGAAACTAATACAAGGACAAATATAACTCTAAGGCACATATCAGTCACACTGAGATAACAATAACAAGTAAAGCACATTATAACTGATATTGCATGAAATAGACACTTTATTTTAGGCCTGTTCTCAGAATAGACATATACCAATTAAACTGATATAGCTATATCAGATATTGCACATGTAACTACTACAAGAAAACATATAATAACAGTAAATTAGACAATCTTATATAGCAATATCAGTTTGCTGACTGATATAGATACTCCATAACAATAATAATTTGTGATCAATACATACGCGCTGTTCTCCAAAAGCTCTCTGAGCTCCTTCAACAGATAGTGATCGCAGGACACCGATAGTCTCCTGGTGGATATGGGGCCCCCTCTCATGGAAGCAACCAAAGTCAAAGTGGATCCATTGATAATACCCGAATCGCATAGTCTGATAGTGTCTTTCAGTTCCGTAGACCGAAAGATGAGGTTCTGCTGATAGATTGGTATCCCTGGGAAAAGAAAAATAGAACAAATATTGTTAACTTTAAATTTTAAGAATTTTGCAAATTCTGATATAAAAACTGCCTGAAAAAAAGACTGATAATATTTTGATAATCTAGTATTGGCTTTATCATTATTATAGACCACAAACAAAAATAAGCATATAACAACAAAAATAATAGTTTCACAAAAACACGATATAAACATTAGTCACAGTGTTTGTGACTAAACAAAACATGTTTAAACAAATTAAAATATATCTGATAACGCACAGAAAAACAAAAATTAAACCTAAAATAGCCTCATACTAAATAATCCAATTAATAAAAATCAATAATTCTGTAATTCACATAGCCAAATTTTTTTTAACTTTTATCAAATTTTTAATTATCTTTGAATTATTTAGAAAACAAAAACTTAACTGGATATCTTCTTATCTTATAATATAAAATAATATCTAGTCTACTAAAATTAATCTTCAAAAGGACACCTAAATATTTTTAAAATAAATTTTCCATTGCTTCAGAATATTCAGAATGAAAAAAAAATACACACATACAAAAATATTTTACTAACATACATTTTAAAGGTGATATGAGTCACAGGGTCATAAACAAATATATAAACATTCTAAATAATTTCTGATAGACATAAAAATTAATAGTTCTACAAGGTTATACATATGAAAAATTCGCGGAAATATTTTTATGAAGCAAAATTTACTGTAAAAAATTATCTTTTCATGGATTTAAATCCTCAAACTATCAAAATGTATTAATTTAATCATGAATACTTACATAAACACATAAATTAATAATTGCATATGAAATTCTCTAAATACCTTATTAAAAAAATGGTTAAAACAACTCGCTGAATCATGTGTTGTTTTGTTCATAAGATATAAATAAAAATTTGCATAGTACTAAAATAGTAACAAATGTATTACTTGGTGGTATCTAATATACCCACACTAAATCATGAAATAGGATCAACAAGAACATATAAAAACACTAGAATATACAACTAAGAATAGATAAAATTGATTTGTTTGTTAAGACTAAAAAATATGCACTTGAGCCTTTATGAGCATAAAATGATCACAGAATCATAACAAATAATTAAGAATCCTGTGTCCTAGTAGTCAAACAAATAAAAACACTAATAGGTATAAAACACACAACAAAAGCTGTAGGTTAGAGCAACTTAGTGAATCATAGATTGTTTTGTTTATGATATAAATAAAAATTGCATAACATTAAAATAGTAACGAATGTATTATTATTACTTGTCCAATCTAATATACCCACTAAATCCTGAAATAGGACCAAAAAGAATGTATAAAAACAAACAATGCTACAATAACAACTAATCTACAGTAACTACTCTAAGAATAGAGGAATTTGTTTTGTTTGTTTAGACTAAAAAATACGCATATACATATTGTGCATATGCATTAAGCACAAGGTAGTCCCTGAAATCATGCCAAATAATTAAAAATCCTCGTTAAACAACAAATAAGACCTCTAAACACTAAAACACTACGAAATCGACTTCTAAGAACGTGCACCTACCTTCAACCCTGTAAATTTTCTTCTTGATGTCGGCCACCGTCTCGTTGGACGACACTTTGATATCGAAGGTAGTGCCCAACAGTGTTTTGATCTGAATTTCCATGTTGGGCTCGTCGAAACACTCGGAAAATCCGTCGTCGTCCGACATTTTTGGGCCTGTTTTGTGTGTCCTTTTTTTTTCCTTCTCTTCTCGCTAAACAATCCTGACAGTTGACATATATCCAATTAAAGGCTGGACTTCTAACAACACCTGGACCTTCTTACACCTGGCGAACGGTGAAAAACCGACGATTTTCCAACATTTAAGGGCGAAAATGTATCGGCTCCAGATCACACGAAATCTAGAAAATAAATTTGACGTTTCAGCTATCAACACGTTGCGTGCTGCGAACGAAAATCTCGAAAGTGACGCGATCAAACCAAACACCCTTTTTTTTCGCAAATAAATCGATTAAGCTCACAAATTTACTTACCATTGGGAAGGAGGAGATTCACCGTGAATACACGATCATGAGAAGGTTTTTCTGTAATCACGCACACGGGCAGAGGAAACTTATGCAAGCGCTTGATGCCAACAGAAAAAAATCGAGGCGAGAATGGTTCGGGCTATTTTTAGCCGAAAGGAAACGGCGCCTCGCGGCGACCAGCACTAAAAGATGACGCAAATTCGGGCAATGTTTTGAAAATACGCGAATCCGGTCAAATCAACCCTCGGCACATCGAAAAAATCACTATTGGTGCGATTCACTTTTCCACAACCCACATCGGATTTGGAAAAGAATCACTTTGAATGACGTTGTTGACGGATGCTTGACAACGTATCCATAGATTATCCAGAAAGAGGGGCGTATGCAAAGGGAGTGTCTATTGGTACGCTAAGGATAAATTAATAAATTAACCGTTTGGTTTAAAAATAACTTTGAAAAATAAGGAATTAAAAAATAATTATAATTAATTAGTGGTTAATTACCAACAATAATAGTTAAATCAATGGTAAAGGCCGTGGTAGAGGTGTGGACCCGGTGAACCTTGGAGCCGGTGGCTGCAGGGGGGTGACAGTGAAATAGGAAAATTGGAAACAGTCATTAGTGTCATTCCTGTCATTCTCCTCACGACAAGTATGGCCGCCTAGACAAGGACAGCATTGTTTTTGTCTAACTATTGTCTAACTTCACAGTTTAGAATGTTTAGAATTGACAGATTTCAGTTTCAGAGACAACTTCAGATTTGTTCTAGAACAAATTCGAAAATATTCGACTTTTAATTCATTCCGTTTAGTTTCGTTTTGGAAGTTCAATTTAATATTTCGGCTGAAATTTATAAATATAATGGTAATAAAGTATATAAAAATATATATTACATGAAGAATCCTAAAAAAACGACGTTTCTGTAGTAGAAGGTATGTCCCATGTATATGAAAAATAGGTAGTAAATAAACACTGTTTTTTTTTTTTAGATGCAAGAAAATGGTGTTTTTCTGAAAATGGAAGCAATTTACAGCAAGGTAAGATCATTTTAACTATAGCCAACATTAGTTATCTCCAGTATGTGCGATTTATTGTCAATAATGAAATTATTGAACTGATAATCTGATTATGTTATCCAACTAAAAGTCTCTTTTTGCTTCTTTTTGATTTATAAGCCAGGCCTCTTTGGGAATAATGGACGCTTTTTTAAACAGTATTTTTATATTTTATACCTATTGATATTTTTACATTGTTAATTTTAGTATAAAAAAAATTGTTTTTCTGTTTTCAGGTTTTTGTATAAGGCTCCCGTTTTCATGTTCGTGTGTCCGTTTTCTGTCCTTGAAGTCTGCGAACACGTGTGTTTATTTACAAATTACTGTAAGTCATGCTTATACCTTAACTAATTTACGTTAAAAGTACATATAATTAACTAATTGGTATTGAAACAATACAATCCTCTATATTTTTATATTTATTTAGCCACGTTGTTCCATATTTCAAATAAATATATGTGAATAAATAATTTTTGGTTTTATTTATGAAAAGTAAAAATACAAAATACATTTGAACTGAAATGAGGACCCGCCATTGAATAACCGGAAACGGAAATGAAAATTAAGCCATCATGTCCTTATCATGTCAACCTGTCAATTGGAAAATTAGTTCTCCAGACGACAACGAAGGCTTTCGGTGGCGTATCGTGTTTCCACGATTTAACACAGAGTTGACACTTCTTTCTAGTTAATTATTTTATGGGTGGCTGCTCTTAAAGGGATTATTTGCTGCAAATAGTGCAAATAGTATGTTGCCAGATTATTTTGGAATTATTTTCAGTTGAAAACAAATTATGTTTTGTTCAATGCTATCAATATAAATATATTATTTACGATATTATATTATTATTTCAATTAAACAGAAATAAAACTTTAGATTGACGCTACGTTTAAACAATGCTTTATTAAAAACTGGGAAAATTAAAGTGTGTCCAAGTTTCTTCTTGTTTTGGAATTTTTAAATGCTGTAGTTCCATATCAGGTTCATACTAAGTTTTATAACATTCTACTAAAATTGTAGAATCAGCAACATTAATATATAGTTACCTTGTTTAATTCTGCTTATACATAGTGCAGTAATTTTCCTTCTACATTAAGATATTTATATCCTTACACCTAATTTATATGATTTTCTTAGCATATCTAAAATATAAAAATATATGATTTATTATGCAATTATTGAGATATCTGAACAGTTATTTTCCACACCACAAAGCATAATATGTAGTATTAAGGCATAAAAATAATATAAAAAAAATATCTTAATAACAATGCAATATGCTCAAAATTCAACTTTCACCATATTGTCAAGATTTTATTTTTGCATTACAGGAAACAAGAAAGTACAGTAAATTAAGAAAAGAATAATCATAAATATACCAATATCATATACGTATATATCAATATACCAAGTACATGATATTAAATACAGGTATTTCTACGACATAAACCACCATCTCCCTTCTAAAGAGTAAAAGATAAAACATAAAGATTTTTTTTTAGATTTTTAACACCCTGAAGATCAGACAAGGAGCACTTTAGACCCTATGTTTATATGAGCTTTTTTTTCTTAAAAATACATGAGCAATTATACTCTGTATTTTTTTTAGACTATATGTGAAAAGCATTCTGTTTACACATAGTGCTCGAAGCTTTCATCGAACAAATTTTGTATCGAAGAGGCAACAAATTCTTATTTACTCTTGTGTTGTTTTGGGGGTTGGAAATTGTTAAAAATCTACAAAAACATAATTAGTAGGGCACAGAATCTTGTTAAATGTGTTTTTTTTATTGATTTCAAGGCTAAATTAGTGAAATAAATGTAAATATCTTGTAGTTATATATTCTTGTTTTGGGACTTGAAAATTGATAAAAACAACTACAAATACATAATTTGTACAGCACAGATTCATGTTAAATAAGGTTTTTTATTGATTTCATAGCAGAATTGGTGAAATAAATGCAAAAAATCTTGGCCATTACATTGACTAAGAAAATGTCTTGTACAAGTTATAAATAGGGGTATTACTGCCTTGTTTTATAATTTATCGATGTAATAAGTATCTATTTAACTAAATATGACATTATTTCGGAAAATATCGAACAACTAAGTTATACTAATTGAAAATTCTGAAGGCTACCGAACCGCCACCATATTTTTGAATTTTATTTCAATTCAGATGGGTTTAATAGGTCTGAAACTGCTTAATTAACTATATTTAATGATAATTTATGATTCCATAACTATTGTAAAGCTTCAAAATCTTTTTTAAGGCAAAAATCTATTTTTTATGATATTAACAATTAGGGACATTGGGGTAATTAAAATGCGATATCTATGTGAATTTTGCTTTATTCGTTTATTGTTTGGTGTCATTTTATTCGGAAAACACGTAGCTGCATTTCCCTAATAGTGGTTTTGTCTCCAATGTAGCATTATATTGTTAAATTTTCATTTAAACTTGAAATTTAGGTCGTAAAATTACATAATTTTTCATCGGTAAAACAAAAGAAAAGGCCGAGTTGGCGCTCCCTCTAGCGTCAAAAATCAGAAACCGAGCGCCAAAACTGAATATTATTGGTCGTTTCGGTTGATCTACGTCATTTCTGGACGGACCGTTGACGGTAAAACATCTATGTCGGTTGCGTCTCCAGAATTTTTAGGAAAAAGTGCCTTTTCCTTGTATATTGTGCTCGGAAATCATGTGTAGTGCATAGGTGGACCCCTAGAGAGGGTAAGTTCGACCATTTTCCTATGAATTTCTCGATATTTTTCGAAAAATCCGACCATCTAAACGCGGCCGGTAGAAGCGCAAGATCAACAAAAAAAAGTCAAAGCCACCTTTATTTTGTTAAACTTTCCGTTTCTTTCTGTTTGCTTTTTTATACTTTCTGTTGCTATAAATAGATCTTTTTTATGGTTGTACCAAGTTGTACTGTATTAAAATAAATCATTTTCAGACTTAAATAGTTTGATGAATATAGTATTTTAGAAATAAAAACCTTATATAAGTGAATAACTTATAGTCAATCAATTTTCTGAAGAATATTTCTAATAGTAGTGCATTTGATATGGTTTTTCTAAAGATATTATATAATAGAAGAATACTTATGTAATAAAATCCTTTATAGAATAATCTAAATAGAATTTAGGAACCTGTAAAACATAGAAAAATTACATCTGCCTGTATTTATATGTATAGTATAGAATAAGATGATCTATTTGAAATTCTGTATATAGAAAATTATATATGAACTATGTACCTAACTAAATGATATTTTGTCTTGTTTCAGATTATGCCAGAAATTATCCAGGGTTGCGGATATCCAAGGACCACGCTGCCAGTAAAGAAGGAGATGACGAACAACACACCAACATAGCAACAGATCTTCAAGTCGCAAAGAAACCAGGCTGCCTTTGGATGGAATGGGCCAAGGATCGGTATGGGTCTGGACACGTCATATAGTTCAGGTCGTACCTGAGCTCGGGCGCTGTATCCAGACGTGCTGCACTCCGGGAGTGAATGTGCGCCTTTACACATTTTGCTCGGTACAATCGCGGGTAGGGCCCAGCTGGACTCGAGAGATGGTAAGTACGACCATTTTCCTATGAATTTCCTGATATTTTTCGACAAATCGGACCCTCTTAAAGCGGCTGGCTTGAAACCAATTCTACTGGCTGAATGTAACGTCATTTCTTTTCCGATTGGTCGAAATTTTATCGGGTAATGTATAAAAGTTTTGCTTTTTTATAATTTCTGCTTGCTATAAAAAGATGTTAATTTGTTGTGGATTGACAGTTTTCTAAATTTGATGTTTTTATGGTTGTACAGGATATCTATGTATTAAAATAAATAATTTTTAGACTTGGATACCTTGATGTATATGGTATTTTAGAAATAAAAGCCTTATATAAGTGAATATATAGTAATCACTCAATTTTCTGAAGAATACTTCTAATAGTAGTGCATTTGATATGGTTTTTCTTAAAGATATTATGTAATAGGGGAATACTTATGTATTACGACATCTTTTATAAAATAATCTAAATAAAGTTTAGAAAGCTGTAAAACACAGAATTGCATCTTCCTGTAGCTGCTTTAATTAGTGAAATATTTAATGAAGAATAACTAGTGAAATTTATATTGATAATCAGCTGATTTTTTTCTTGAAACTGATCTAAACCCTAAAAATTAAAATACTGGTTCCTTGTTTTTTAAGTTTGTGAAATATTTCTCTATAGTCTATGTTATTAATTGTGCATTGAT